TTTGCCTGACCTGAGCCGGGATACTTTCAATCTTTTCATTCTCAAGCGAAAGCTGGACAATGACTCAAGACTAGCGAAAAACGGGTGCCTTTCAAGTATGGTGTTGGTGCAGCACACAGGCCACAGCACGGGCTGCCGGAACACCACCCACCTGTCTTGGAAGGAGGGCAGCCAGAATACTGTAGAAGCAAGGATGGCAAGATTTCATTGTCAGGAAGAACCAGTCCTGGAGAAGGTCACCATGCTGAGTCAAGCAGAGGTTCTTGACAAAGAGGAAGACCCTCATTCGGGTGGACTGACACAGTGGCTGTCACACTAGGCTCACACATAGCGACGGTGCTGAGGGTGCTGCAGGACGGGGCAGTGTTCTGAGCGGCTGTGCAGGGGCTGGGTCACTAGGAGACAGCACCTAACAAAAGAATGCCATTGCCCAAATTGGACCCCTGATGGACCAGGAAACCAAAGTTAAAAAATAATAATAATGAAATAGAATAAGAAGAGAAAAGTATCAGAGTACAGCATACATAGTAAGGCTTAGTATGAGTTCCTAAGGATTTTGTTGTTTGCCCCTCTCTAGGCAAGTGTGTATGTGTATGTGTGTGTGTGTGTGTGTGTGTGTGTGTGTGTGTGGTGTGAGTGCACACTGACTTGATGGCAGCTGATAACAATACTCACACTTACATAAGTACTGGCTTAGGATATACAGTATCATTTTTACTGTAGACCAGACCAGAAGTTTCAGAAATACCATCTTGAGAGAGAACAAGAGATAATGCAAGGGCATGCAAACCCAAGTTCTGGTGTTTTTTAAGTGTCGTGGATTAAATTGTGTCTCCCCCAAAATGTGTCAACTTGGCTGGGCCATGACTCTCAGTGGTTTGGCAGTTATGTGATGGCCTCCCTGATAGGGGCTGAGGTGATACACCGATCAGTTGCCAGAGCATTAAGGGTAGGAATGTAATACCCTCCATCCCATCACAGCCCTGATCTGAAGGCAAAGGCATTTTCCTGGGTGCTGCCTGCAACACCTCATAGCTTACAAGAAAGGCATGGAGAGGGAGAACCCCAGATGAGGCAGGGGCACCTATTGCCAGCGAGAAAGCTGGGAGTGAACATATCCTTTGGATGGAAGGTCCCTGAGCTGAGAACCTCCTAGACCCAAGGGAAGGTTGATGCCAAGACACAGGAAGATCTCCAAGAAATGCCAGGGCTACCGATGCTGAAAAGAGAGACAGCGACCTTCCTCTTAAGCCAGGAGTCACAGGGAACAAGTTTCTGTTTGTTGAATCCATCCGCTTGTGGTAGTTCTGTTTTTTCCAGCAGCCCGAGATGACGAAGACAGTGTGCTCTCAAAGTGCGTTAGTAACGTAAGCCCTGACAGGTGGCCGCACCAACAGATGTCTTTATTAACACTACGGGCCTTAGAAAGAAAAAGGAGAGGATGGGGTCCGGAGGCCCTGAGGCGACTCCGAAGGTGCTGAACTGACCTGTGTGAGGTGCAGGAGAAGGTCCCTGGAAGACACAAGTGGGGTGGGGGATCTGGGGCAGGTGGTCCCTCGGGACCTGCTTACTGAAGTCAGGAGGAAATGCAAGGCAGCACTTGCCAACCGCAGAAAGCCTATTTTCCGACCCAAAAAAGGAGCTGCTTAGCTGGGACGGGTCCCTCAGCCAAAGGTTGGCATGCACCGCCCCAGCCAGTCTCCTTTTGGCACCGCGTGTGTTGACTCAGAACAACAGAGAGCATGAGTTCAAACAAAGCCTTATCATTACCAAAATACAGCCCGAGAAGGGCTGGCAGGGATGGGCAAGACTGATAAGGGGTGGTTATCGCAAGCTTCTCCCCACCTAACCCAGGCTGTCTCACTGCTGCCGCCGGCCCAACAAGGCTGGGCCGACAGAGCTGGGAGGACCTGTATTTGAACAGCTCTCTGCCTGCAGGCTCTCCGGCCCCTGCTCCTGCCTTGGCAGATCCCTCACTGGGGTGCCAAGGGGGCCTGAGAGGCTGAGTGTGAACGTGACCCCTCACCCCTCCAGGCTCGTCTCCTACAGCCAGCCCTGGCCCCATGTCTCCACCCTGCGGCACCTGGACCCCACTTGCCCACCCTCTCACACCCCGCACCAAGAGAGGGAAGCAGTGGTCCCTGAAGCGTCAGGTTGGAATCGTCCAGGCTGGGTTCAGTTTAACGCACTCCGGTTGGATTCCTAATCGGATCCGATTCCACTCTACAACCGGCCCTCCAAAGAGACGCGTCACACACCTGCTGATTCCTCACTGCCATGAAGTTGATGCTGACTCACAGGGACACAGTAGGGGACAGGGTAGAACTTTCCCGATGGGTTGCCAAGACCGCGACTATGGTAGTAGTAGGTAGTAGTAGTAGGTAGCCACATCTTTCTTCCACGGAGCAGCTGCTGGTTTCATACTGCTGGCCTGGAGGTTAGCAGCCCCCAGTGTAACCACGAAGCCACCAGAGCTCTTTCCCCTGCTGACGTGACCTTCCAACAACTCACAAATGGGTACTAATGGCAGAATGTCAGCTCTGCTTAGAGTCTGATCGTACATGTGGTAGTTATATAATCATTTGTCAATCTGAGAGGATTAAGAATGAAGGGGTGAAGTCCAGCCTGTCAATCAGGTCATAGCCAATGAGGCCTCTGTGTGGGCATGGCCTTCTCCTGAGGATTCTGGGTATTCCTCTTTGGAGGAGGGAGACACTCTTTCTCTCTGCTGACTCCCTGGGGGACATTGCAGTTGATGAGCCACATAGAGACCCCCGCCAGCACTAGACCCTCTACCATCACTAGATCCACAAGACTCTCCACCCACTGGCCTGTGATCTTCCTGCACTCAGACTCATTACATGTGTTTCATGAGTCTGAAGATTGATTGGTATCAGACATATGGGCTAATATCCGACTTAGGGACTTGATCTGGACTGGGCTGGGACGTTTTCTCAATATTCAATTGCTCTTGTATATATAGCTCTTTCTTATAATACACATGTGAGTCTCCCTGGATTTGTTTCTTTAGTCTGCCCGGACTAACACACTATAGAGGCAAGCGGTGGGATGGTGGGAGCATGGCTTTAATCACAGCTGGTTGCTAATGGTGACAGAGCCCAGACAACATCCTTTAGTTATGCTAACTCATTTAGTCCTTACAAGAGCCCTCAGAGGTAGGGACGGCTGCTACCCTATTTTTGCTGACAAATGCTGAGGAGAGGGACACAGTGCAGGGACATGGGCCAGGACTGTGTAGAGCTAGTATTTGTGCCCAGGCAGCCTGGCTCCAGAGTATGTTCCTAATCCTGCCTTCAACCCCAGTACCAGGGGTTACCAGCTGCCTGAGCTCAGGGAGTTTTGTTGGGATAAGGCATGGGATGGCTAACCACAAGGTCGGCGGTTCAAGTCCACCACCTGCTTCAGGGGGAGAGGGGAAAGACTGTCTCCTTCTGTAAAGTGTTACAGTCTCGGGAACCCACGGGGCAGTCCTATGCTGTCCCGTAACATCTCTAGGAGTCCAAATTGCCTTGATGACCGTGCCGTTTAGAGTGGGTTCTGACCCCAGGGAGGCACCTGGCCTCTGCTGATCATACATCGAACAGGACAACAGCAGCCACGTATCAGACACCAGCTACAGCTCGGGAGGTGGGAAGCACAAGGGCCCGCATGTCGCGCACAGAACACAAGCTCCCACTTGTTTCCTGCACATCTGAGCAAGAAGAAGCAATGGCCTTGGGACCAGCTGAGTCAGCATGGCTTCCCTAAAGAAGTGTCCTCCTTCTGGGCTGCAGGGCCTGCTCACGAGTCTCAGCCTGGGCCCTTCGGAGGGCCCCTGGGGGTAGTAGATGCCTGGTTCTCTGGCCCCCTCACCTGGCATGCGCCCCTCTCCTAGACCAGCACAGGTTGGTCACACAGCAGGACTTAGGCAGCGCTCAGAGGGCAGCAGTCACAGAGCCAAGTATGGAAAAGTGACCGAGGGACAACCAAGCCCACAGCTGACTCTTCCTTCTCTGGTCCGTGTACGTGATGGGACGCAGTCCACTGGCTGGAGCACCCAGGGCTCGGTCTACTTCCTGCGTTACACACAGATGGTGACTCATGGGTCGGAGTTCGTCCACCTGTATGATTCATGGAAGCCTGACCCCTGGGCCGCTCACCCCAAGGCCAGCAGTTTGGAACCACCAGATGCCCCAGAAGAGAAAGAAGAAGCCGTCCATTGCCCTAAAGTGTTCCAGTCTTGGAAACCGACAGGGGCAGTTCTACCCCATCCCACAGGGTCGCAAGGAGGCGGCATCCCGTCCTCGATGGCAGTGAGTTTGGTGTACGTTTGCTTGTTTTTAACGACTGCCACACTCAGGGCCGGACCAAGGTCAAAGCCCTGCTGACAGACAGTGAGGGCACCTTGGTGGCACAACTGGTTAAGTGTACAGCCACTAACCAGAAAGTTAGAGGCTGGAGTGCACCCTGAGGTGCCAGGATGAAAGGTCTAATGGACTTATTTCTGGAAGGTCCCAGCCGGTGAGAACCCAATGGAGCACAGTTCTCCTGGGACATCCCCGAGGCCACCCGGTGTTGGAACCGACTCTCCCCCGGCAACTGGTTTGGTCTGGGTTCTAGTTTCACAGATAATGAAATAAGATCCAGAGAACTCAAGCCACACAGCTGTTAGGGAGGAGCTGGAATGAGGACCCAGGCTTCCTGTGGTCAACCGGAGGTGTCCAGGCAGCCTGGCTGCTAAGCTGCCATGGTCAGGGAGGCAGCTCTGACAGGCCTCTGTGGCAGACATACTATGGCCCAGGGAGGGGCAGGCGAAGTGGAAGGTGACCAGAGACCTTGGTCCTGATTGGTCAAACCACGGGAGGGGGGGGCCGCGGGGGGCAGTGGGGAGTGACCAGGGGCACAAGGATGTCCTGGATGCCTAGGAAGGAGGGAGGAACCCCTTAAAGAGAGCTTAGGACAAGGGAAAAGTCTGTCCTGCCAACAACAGAGACACCTACCGCATGATTCCCAGAGGGTCCAGTGCCTCTTCCTCCTCCTCATTGTTGTCTTCCTTCTCTGCCAAGGGCTTCCCAGAATCCTTGCCTTTCAGGCCCAGGATCGGCAGATCCTCTCCTGGCACTTCATCCTGCTGCCCGAAGAAATCGAGAGCCTCCCTGTCGTCCTCTGGCTGGCTGGCTGAAGCCAGGGCAGAGACTTCCCTGCTGGAGAGGTCCACAGCCCCCGGGGACCTGGTGCCTGTGGAGGAAGACAGAAGAGACGGCATTGGGTGCCCACTTGGAAGTGGGGTGCTCCTGGGTGAGGGTATCTGGGGCTGAGGGCAGTGTCCTAGGACCCAGCTCCGTCATAACCCAGATTACGTGGCTGGGAGGTGACAACCGTTCCTGGTGGGGCAGCTCCCACAGCGTTGGTGGGCATCAGAGAATCCATTACAGGGGGAGTTCCTGAACTGCTGAGACCAGAGCCCATCTGGAAGTCAATGATGGTAGAAACTACCTCCACTGGGCTGACCGGGTTAGGGGAGGGAGATTCAAAGAGAAATGACACTTCCCAGATCATTTTACTCAAGGAGCTTTGCCCATCCAACCGTGGGTGGAGATCCGCTGCCGGGATCTGGACAATCAGACTATGAGTGGGCTATTGCGTGTGGAGAGCATGCAATTGCCCGGCTCCGAGAGCAACTCTGATGGTTCCTTTAGATCAGCGTTTCTCAAAGTATGGCCGACAGGTGGTGTCCACATGAAGTAGGTGCAGAGAGGGAGAACAAGCATCAGGCACTTGCCCAGGCAGCCATCACAACATGCACTTGGGAGATGTGTGTTTACAAAGGACCCACTGTGACCAACTGGGAATGAAAATACCAGCCCTTCCGAGGGGAGAGGTTGAGAGATAGTAGACTGACTGTTCGATGACCTCCAAGCTGCTCTGAGTAGTGTACGGTGAGGCCCGCAAGAGCTGGGACTAGAGACTGCCTGGTCTTTCTGGGTTTTACAAGTGCCCCCCCTTTGACAGAGTACAGCCCCACTGCTTTCTATCACTCGTGTTAGCGCAAAACATGTGAGATAGCTTTCTTCCCGACATCGACGTCAGCTTTCACAGATCTGCTGTATGTCGAAAACATTCACGTTGAAAAACATCATGCGCAGGAGTCCCTGGGAGATGTTATGTGTTCAGCATGCTCATCTGCTTAACCGAAAGGGACCACCCAGAGGCACTCAGACGCAAGGTCTGGTGGTCCATTTCCGGGGGGAGGGGGGAAATCGGTGGAAAAACAAGATATTGATTCTTCAAAAGACTTACCAAAATTAACATGTCACTGGAGAATCTAACAAAGGGGGGAAAGATGCAAATAATATATGAAACGGGACCCATCACAACAGAACCAAAAGAAATTAAAAAGGCTATTAACAGAATACTACGAAGAACTATACCTTAACAAATTTGAAGACCTAGAAAGAATGGACAAATTTCTAGATATGCACTACCTACCCAAACTAATTGGACTGAAATATAAAGCCTGAAAAGACCACAGCAAAAGAAAACATTGATCAGGGTATTAGAAACACTCTCAGCAGGATAAAAAAAAAAGCCAAGCCCAGACAATGAGTTTTACAAACATTCAGAGAAGAGCTGATACCAATTTTACTCAAAATTTCCCAGGGTATAGAAAAGGATGGGAACCTTCCACATTCCTTTTATGAATCAAACATATCCCTAGTATCAACATCATGAGAAAATAAAATTGCGAGTCAATTTCCTTCATGAACATAGATGTAAAAATTTTCAATAAAATCCTAGCCAAGAGAATCCAACAATTTTTTTATGCATAAGAAAGGACTTTATGTCAAAAAGTAATTTTATACCAAGAAGACATCCCAACCCAATCCAACTCAAGTAATCCATCCAATGCTAGCTGAAGCCCTCTTCAGATTCATATCGATACAGGTAAAGGAGGATGCAGAGAGATCACAGACCAGTGGGTACAGAGTCACATGGATCCAAGGATGGTGGGACAGCAAATACAGAATTCTAGCAAGTAAGCAATGTGGAGGGCCTAAGAGAGAGAAGGTCTCACAATCTGTGTTAAGCCAGGTTGACTAGAGAAACAAATCCAGAGACACTTATATATGTGTAGGAGAGAGCTTTAGATCAAAGAGGAATTGCATATTGAGAAAATATCCCAGTCCAATTCAGATCAGGTCATAAATCTGATATTAGCCCATATGTCCAATACTAGTCCATAAATTCCTCTTCAGATTCATGCAACACATGCAATGATGCCAAATGCAGGAAGACCACAAGCCGGGGGTTGAAAAGTCTTGTGGATCCAATGGAGGTGGAAGCATCTCAGCTTTGGCGCACCTCCACGTGGCTCCTCCAGCTCTCTCAGTGTCTCAAGCACAGGAAAGTGAAGCAGAGAAAGAGTATGGCTCAGAGAGGGAGTTTCCAGAATCCTCAAGAAAAGGCAACAAGGAAGCATCATCAGGCTGTGACCTGACTGACAGGCTGGATTCCACCGCTAGACTTAGAGAATCCAACAATTTAAAAACAACAACAACAAAAACATCACGACCAAGTAAGACTCAAACCAAGAATGCAAGGATGGCTCAACATTAGAAAAAGTCAATATAATCTAGCACAAAAATGAAACAAAGGAAAAGATCGTATCAACTGGTTAAGAAAAGGCATTTGACAAAAGCCAACACCCCTCCCTAATAAAAACAATCATAACCAAGGAATTTGTCAATAATTGTATGCAAAGCCAATGGCCCAAAGCACTCTCAATGAAGAAACTGAAAGCATTCCTCTAGTAAATAGAAACTAGACAAGGATGTCCTCCATCACCACTCCTATTCAGCATTATGCTGGAAGTCTTAGAGCTGACAGAAAACAAAGGGAAATTAAAGACATCCAAACGGGCACAGTAATGACACTCTACTTGCTCATGATAAGATCTTAGACACAGACAGCAGAAGACAAACTACTAGATGACTGGGACCGCCTAAAATTTAAGACAATTATGTGCATCGAAATAGCTCACTAAAAGAGTAAAATGAGAACCCACAGACTAGAAAATGTGTTTGGCAATGGCATATCAGAGAAGAGACTAATCTCTAAAATTTACAGAAATCTTCAACACACCAACAAGAAAAGGACAATCCAATTAAAAAATGGGCAGAGGCAAGGCATTATATAAGTTTAATACTATACCGATATGAATACCATCATCCTTCATCAAAGAATTGGAAAAACTGATGTCCAACTTCATATGGAGGGGGAAGAAGCCCAGAATCAGCAGAGAACTCCTCAAGAAGAAGGACAAAGTAGGGAGTTTTCTCCACCTGACTTAGCACGTACTATATAGCCACGGTGGTCAAAACAGTGTGGTACTGGTATAACGACAGATATTCAGACCATGGAAAAGGGCTGAAAACCCAGAAATAAAACATCAGTCTACAGACAAGTGATTTTTTGATAAGGACCCAAAAAATATCAAATGGAAAGCAGATGCCTTCTTCAACAAGTGGTGTTTGAAACAATGGATATCTACCTGCAGAAAAATGAAGCAAGACCCTTACCTCATTCCATGCACAAGAACAAACTCAAGGTGGAGCACAAACCTTGAGGTAAAACCCCAAACTATTAGGGCCATTAATGAGGGAATTGGGACAAACCTGATAACCTTGGCACAGGGAATACATAGGCTATCAGAAATAGGGAAGGATACAAATACAGAGGAGTCATGAATTGACAAGTGGGATATATTGAAGACAAATCACCTGTGTACATCGAAAGAATTCACCAAGAGAGTAATAATAGAGCCCACAGACTAGGAAAACATCTTTAGCAATGACACATCAGACAAAGGCCTTATTACTAAAATTTGTAATATGTTTCAAGCTTACAATAAAAAAACCCAACTAACTGCCCACTGAGGAGGTGGGCAAAGGACCTGAACAGAAGTTTCACAGGGGCAGAAATCCTAATGCCCAATAAACATATGAGAAACTGTTCCCGATCATTAGCCATAAGAGAAATGCATATTAAAACAACAATGAGATACCACTTAACACTCTCAAAGACAGCCAAATTCAAAAATTCAGAAAGTAATAAGTGTTGGAGGGGCTGTGCAGAGATAGGAACTCTCGTCCACTGCCTGGTGGACCTGTAGGTATGTACGGTGACTATGGAAACTGATTTGGCGTTATCTAAAACAGATGGAAATCCAGCTACCATAAGACCCAGCAATCCCCCCATTGGGCATATACCCGGAAGAGGCAAGAAACAAACCACAGCCAGCCATCTGTACTCCAATGTTCATCATGACACAGTTCACAATTGCCAAGGAGTTGGAAACAACCCAAATTTCCATCAACAGATGAATGGATCAAAAAACTGTGGTACATACATACAATGGAGTACTACACATCCCTAAAAAGCAGCGATGAACGCACGAAGCACATCACCGCATAGGAAGAATTGGAGGAAATCATGTTAAGTGAAGTAAGCCAAGCACAAAAAAGTACAAGTGCAACATGAGTCCGCTGAGGTAAGCTAAAAAAAGGGGCGGGGGACGGGCATAGGGGAAAACTACTACATACATACATCCCTGGGGTGAGGTCCAGCAACTACTGCAGGGGCCAAACCCAATCCAGGGATATATATATATATATATATATATGGCAGCCAACTAAATAAGAGAGGGGGAAAAAGACAACAACAAAAAAAGACATGGGTAGTGGGGAGCAGGGCATTAACCCACGCAAGGGGAGGTTATTGTTTAAATCTCCCTCTCCACAGGAGAGGGAGAAAGAGACCAGGCTTCAACCCAATGCGCCAAGACACGTATACAACATACTGGCATGTACGAGAGAACCAATAGAGAGGTCTTCGGGGCCGGCCCCAATTATGTGAACAATCCCCTCAGAAAAATGCACTTCAGAGGACAGCACTGCGGCTACAGCTTAGGGAGTGGGGTGCGTCGGATGAGAGCACACGGGAGAAACGCAAAGGGATGGAGAGGGAGGAGAGGACATCCTGGCCCACCAAGCCCCGAGGACGATGTTCCTGCTTGGAGCAGACAACGCACGGGGAAGACCGCACGGGGAAGACCGCACGGGGAAGACCGTAGGGCGGCCCCACCATGGGACACGGCATCCCTCACTGAATCCTGACACTGCAGGGGACAGACAGCACTGGAGATACAGGGCGGGAATAGAGCATGGTGTGGCCCCATCGTGCTGGGGCAAGGCACTGAGGGCATGCACTCTGCTACAGATAAGAGGCCACAACACAGGGAATCCAGGACAGATAAACCTCCCGGGGCCAACAAAGAGAGTAGAGATACCAGGAGGATTAAGGGAGGGTGGGGGGAGAAAGGGGAAATCAATCACAAGGATCAATTTAGAACCCCCTCCCAGGGAGATGAATAATGGATAAGTGGGTAAGGGGTGATGGAGGATGATGTAAGATATGGAAATAATAATCTACAACTTATCAAAGGTTTGTGAGGGAGGGTGGGGGGAGGGAGGGGGAAGAAATAGGGATCTGCTATCAGAGGCTCAAATGGGATGAAAATGCTTCGAAAATGATGATGGCGGCATACATGCAAATGCGCTTGACACACTGGATGAATGTATGGATTGTGATAAGAGATGTAAAAGCCCCAAATAAAGTAAGAAAAAAAGAAAACAGGCAGAGGGTATAAACACTGTATTATAAAGAAGATACTCAGGTGGCCAATATACATATGAAAAAATGTTCCCAATCATTAACCATATGAGAGATGGAAATCATAACAACATTACATATCTTCTCACCCCAACATTAATAGTAAAAAAAAAAAATTTAACCACACACACAAAACAACCAATGCTGTTGAAGATATAGAGACTGGAAATGTCTGCTGGTGGGACCATCCAACAGTGCAACACTGAGGGAAGTGGTATGGCATTTCCTCCAAAGACTGGGAATAGAAGCGCCATTGAACCAAACAATCCCTCTGCTGGCTCTATATCCCAAGAACAAAGACCTGCAGCACAGACAAATGCAGGCACACCATGCTCACTGCAGCGCTCCTCGCCACAGCAGCACGACAAACACAGTCCAAATGCCCGCTGGTGGAAGCATGGATAGACCCGATGGAACACTAGGCAACGGAAGGGATAACGATGAGACTGTGAACCACCTCCTGACACGGATAACCTGGAAGACAATTGGTTGAGTGAAATCAGTCAATCACAAAATGGCATCTATTCTATCAGAATACTATCATAAAAAGTCAAGAGCAAGTTCTTACCTTAAAAGAAGCATCCTTTGATGGTTACCAGGGGTAAGAGAGAGGGAGGGAGGGGGCTCATGGGCTAAAGAGTAAACAAGTGTCAGCTTGGGTGTAGGGATAGACAATATACAATAGTGATGGAGGCGGGGAAGAAACTGGGAGGTTTGCAAGAGTTAAAGGCAACAAAGGCAAAAATGTCCCCCCCACAATCCTGCAACAGTGATGGCTATTAGTAGTCTAACAGTGGATGCTCCGATAGGCATGCAGGGTGAAGAGGTGTGGCAGGGAGAAAAGATGTACACCTGCAGACAGAGACAGGTGTGACAGAAGACATTTATAAATGTCTGTTTACTTCTGATGAAATATATATCCATGAATGTGGTGGAGTGTACAAGGTGCAAAGTTACAAAAGCGTCTTCTTAGCCACAACCCTTGAGGGAATGAGCCACTGGGCTTGGGGGCTCAGGTCCACATTATAGTTTGTAAAAGGCAAAGTCCGACATCGAATTTAATGAGTAGCAACAAGAATCTTTGAGGCTCATGAGCAGCCATCTAAGGTCTCTCCCTACCTCGAGGGGAAAAAAGAGACGGAAATCACAGGTGGGGATAATTAGTCCAATGGACTAATGAATCATTTAAACATCATTCTCCACAACACTGAGGCGAGAAGAACTCAATGGTGCTCAGTGAGCACTACCAACTGCTTAGGAGGGACTGCATGGGGTAGGAGGAACAAAATGCTAACTGGTCAGCTAGAGACTGGTGGTACCCCCAAGGCTGATACTCTGCTCTATAAACTTTCACCTAGTTGACGATATAATGTTTCAAACTATCAGTATTAATATTATGGAGCACAGTTCTACTGTGATGCACTGCAGTTACTATGAGTTTGGGTCAACACAGCTGTTGTTAGTAAAATACAGCCATTATGATGCCATGGGCGCTAAGAGCTTTCTATTTATTAGCTCAATTACCTCCACCACAAAGCTTGTCGGACAGGTACTAACAGGTCCACCAGTAAACAGGTAAGAAAACTAAAGAGAGACAGAGGAGACAGAGGGTGGGTGGGCTCATCCACTACTGGGAAACGCAGGCGGGTTAATCAGCACAGGCTCTGCCTCTGCCCAGAGCCATCCCCAGGAAGGACCAAGCTGGGTATGAGCCGTCCCCAGGGCACAGGCCACCAGCCTGGCTTTGAGAACACAGCTATCTCTGGCTGTGTGTGGCAGGAGAACACGGAGAGAGGGGGCCAGGCCAGGAAGAGTGAGGGTGGGGTCAGATGATAAGAGAATAGCCTCTTCCAGCAGCTGGCTGGTCGGCTCCTCAAGGGCCCACACCTCCTCCGCTGACCACCCATGGGCAAGGATGTCAGGAAGGCCAGCCTGTCTCAGCAGCCTCAAACCCGCTCCCACGGAGCCAGGGCAGTGAGGCCTGGCTCCGTGCCAGGGGAGACGCCAGGGACCGGGGGCAGAGTGGAGGGTACCTAAGAATTCTAGCAGCTCTGGGCTGCCTGCCAACTCGGCATCCTTGGAGACCCAGCGCAGAAGCTCATCAAACAGGGCTCTCCTTTCCTGGATGTCAGCCTCCCCAACAAACAGGACCTTCCTGGGCAGCGGGGGGAGGCTGGCCACGGAGTAACGAAGGCTCAGCTTCTGGTACAACTCCTCAATCTCGCTATACTTTTTAGAGACCTGGAATGAGAAGGGCAGGTGGTTTCCTGAGTGAAGGGTAAAAGGAGAGCTCCTCTCCTAACCCACCCACAGGCTGCAACTCCAAACCGACCAGCCCACTGCTGTCGAGTGGATTCTGGCTCACGGGGACCCATGCGTGGCAGACTAGAACTGTTCCAGAGGGTCTTCTTGGCTGTCATCTTTCCAGGGGAGTCTCTGGGTGGCACACGTGGCTAAGTTAAGCGCTTGGCGTTAACTGAAAGGTTGGCGGTTCAAACCCATCCAGGGGCAAGCTGGAAGACATACTAAACCCAAACCACTGTCATCAAGTCAAATCCAACTCCTAGTGACCCCCCAGGACAGAGCAGAATTGCTCCTCTGGATTGCTGAAGCTGCAATCTTCAGAGGAGCAGAGAACCCGATCTTTCTCCCTCACAGCAGCTGGTGGGTTTGAACCACGGACCTTGCAGCCAACATGTAACCCACGCTAACACCCAACTTCCTCCTGAAACATCATAGCCAAGGAATGGTCCAGTGTTCTTCTTTGAAACATGGAGTTGCCATGAGGCAGAGGGGGCTCTGGGGCAACTAGTGAGGAGAAAAACCCTCGTGGAAGCAGATGGCCGGGCCGCTGTGAGCACAACCAGCTGGATGGCGGCGAGGTCTGGTTTTTCTGCCGGGCTGCTGGGTGGATTCCACTCTAGACCAAACCTTTTGCCCAAGATTCAAAGAGGGCCAGGCTTTTTGGACAGTCCTTCCCAAGGACAAGAGGAGCCTTGGTGGCAGAGTGGTTATATGTTGGGCTGCTAACCAGAAGATGAGCGGTTCAAAACTACCAGCCACTCCCAGAGACAGGACTTTCTACTCCCACGAAGAGTTAGTGTTTCAGAAACCCACAGGGCAAGTTCTACCCTGTCCTATAAGGTCAGAACCGATTCGATGGCAGTGAGTTTGGATTCTGGGTCTTCCCAAGAACCAGCCTGCCCCAGGAAGTTCTGGGGAAAGGGCAGGGTCTCCCTCCTTATCCCCTGCCATCTCCCTGCCTCAGCTGGACCCCTTCTCCCTATTCTAAGCTATGGTAGACAATTGTACGTATCTTAGCGGCCTGAAGGAAAAATGCCCTCGGAGGCTATTCCAGGCACCACAATCAGTCTGGGTAAAAATATTTGATGCTGAAACCCAGGCCCTGCCTGGCCTGCAGGCAACTCACACCACCCGCTCCACTCCAGTCTTATCAGAGTGATCACACAGACTAGCAGCTATGAGACCATCTTCCAGCAACACCAGGCGTCACCTGTCCTCAGCACGGTCTCCTGCTCATTCTCCCATGCGTGACGGCGGCCTCCGGTGGAGCCTGTCCTTACACTTGCTTATGGCGGAGAACCAAACTGCCAAAGTGGATCTCACTACCCTGCCGTCAACCAGGACGATCAGGTGATTCCTTTTCACATCACCGTAGCCCTGGTGGAACACCAGGTTAAGCACTGGGCTGCTAACGGAAAGTCAGAGAAAGAGGAAGTTGTCTCTGCTTCTGTGCAAGTTTGGAAACCCTATGGGGCTGTTCTACTCTGTCCTGTAGGGTCGCTATATATTGGAAGCAGCGTGATGAGAGTGGGGTTGGTTTGGGTCTTGAATTGTACACGGGGACCACAGTGAAGCCAGCCAGGGCCCTGCTGGCCATTGGAGGATCGTCCTGAGCGCTGGCTGACGCCATCTCCTCCTTTGTGGTCTCCCCTCACACACTCACACCAGGCAGGGTTTGCCTATTCACTGTATCAAGTTCTTACTGTGCCCTTACTCTGTGTGGGGACACCAGGACACCCTGTCTCCTGGGGTATGGGGGGCCAGTCTCAGTAAGGTGGGCTCAGTGTGAGTGCAGAGGGCAGACACCTGCTTTACCCACATACGCCCTCCACCCGGAGCGCCACTGGGCTCTCCCCACTGTGTCTCCCCTCCTCTGCGAGGCCACGGAGGGTGTGCACACGCATGACTCGTATTTATACTCTCAGGAGATGGCCCCGCCCTTGGCCAGCACTACAAATCCTGCTGAGCAGTGAGTGAACACCCGGCACCTCCTCAGCCTGGGGTGTTTGAAGCCTGCCCCCTTGACGAACCAAACCTAAACCTGCAAGGGTGCTAGTTGCTAGGAGACTGGGGGGATGAGGGGGTGGTGGGGGTGGTTTCAGAGCCCCCGAATGGGGAGTCATTGGGGGAAGAAGCTGCTGCCGGCAGTTGTCAACACCGCAAGAGCTTTCCTGGGTACACCAACCTACTGCCATCGAATCAATTCAGACTCACAGAGGTCTTATGTAGGGTTTCCAAGATTGTAAATCTTTATTGGAGCAGGGATCTCCTGAGAATAGTCCTCAAGAGGGGGGAAAAAAGCAGCAAGCGATTCCTTGCATTAAAGTGCTTAAACTACACAGGCTTCAACCCCTCAGCCTGAAGGCCATTCAGAAAATTGGCTCCTTGCAAAGACCCCAGGCGGGAGCCCGGAAGACTGTTTACTGGGGTGTCCCTGCAGGCCTGGCCCCCGGAGCAACCAGAACAAGGACTCTGTACGTGGGGCTACAGCGAGCACATGAGCGTTCTCCTTGGCTCGTGCAAGCACTTCGAAATGTTTGAGAATCACCTGTGCACACACCCCACTCACCAAAGGAGGAAGTCTGAATGTACGAAAATGTGAGGACGGGTGCTCCTGACTCCTTTGTAGGTAGTGCTTGCCCTTTGCACGACATCGCGCGGGCTGGCCGGGCACCCCTCAAAGGGTCTAGAATGTTGTATCCCTGTCACTCCCAGAAATATCAGTCTCAAGTATGTTCCTCACCAGCTCCGGTTTGTTTTTGTTTTTTTAACATTTTATTGAGGGCTCTTACAGCTCTTGGAACAATCCATGCATCAACTGCATCAAGCACATTTGTCCATAGGTTGCCATCATTATTTTCTAGACATTTATTTTCTATTGAGCCCTGGGTGTCGGCTCCTCTTCCGGCCCCCTCCCCCTCCCCGCCCTCATGGCCCCTTATTAGAAATTATTATTATTGCCAGCTCCAGTTCTTGAACATGTGGGTGCATCGCGCTCCACCCGGGATTACGTCAGATTACTCAAATGCTGAAAACCACCACTTCCATCAATGCAAGCACAGAGCCACCCTGGGGCAGGCATTACACCCCGCTCTCCGAAAGAGCAGAAGAAACACTCCTATGAAAACAGACTGCAGCTGGTTTTGCTTTAGGCATTTCCCACGAAAGGCTCATGCCATAAACTCCAACTTGAACCCGGAGCACCTTTAAACAGGCTATGTTGCTAGGTGCCATCAAGTCAGTTCTAACTCACAGCGACCTTAGGAACAACAGAAGGAAACACGGCCCGGTCCGGCCCCGCCTCACGACGGTCATGTGTGGATCCACTGCTGCAGCCAGTGTGTGAAGACACTGTGCCAATCCGTCCTGTCCACGGTTTTCCTCTTTTTATATGGCTGGCCCTTATTTTATCAAACACAGTATCCTACTTCAGGAATAACATCTGGATAACATGTCACAGGATGTGAGGCAAAGTCTCGCATCCTCACATCCAAGGAACTTGCTGGCTGTACTTCCTTCAATGCATCTGTTTGTCCTTCTGGTAGTCCATGGAGGTATTTTTGGTATTCTTTGCCAAGACTATAATTCAAATGCATGTTTGTTTGTTCTTTTTCCTGTGATCTTCCTTCGTTTTCATATTACCTATGAAGTGATTGCCAAGGCTACGGCTTGGGTCAGGCACACTTTAGTTCTCAAAGTGACTTCTTTGCTCGTGAACATTCTAAAGAGATCTTGTGCAAATTTTCCCAATGTAATTCTTCCTTTGACTGTTGACTGCTGCTTCCATTGACTATGGATCCAAGAAACCTTTTGACAACTTCAACTTTTTTCTCTGTTTCAAGATGTTATCTGATGGTCTCGCAGGAGTTTTTGTTTTCTTCACATTGAAGGCTGCAGTCTTTAATTTTCATTAACAAGTGCTTCAACTCCACCTACAGCAAGCAAGCGTGTGCCATCTGCATATTTTAATAAGACTTCTTGTAATCCTATTTATATTGTTCAATAATTTCTGCATTCTGTTGGGTCACTTTTTTTTTTTTAAGCATGGGCACAAATAAGGATCTCTTCTAGGAAGCTGGCCAAAATGCTTGTCTTCCAAATTTCTTGGCATAGGTAAGCGAGTGTCCCCAGATCTTCATCACCTTGTTGAAACATTTCAACTGGTTCCTGGAGGCTGGATTTTGGCTAATGTCTTTATTGTACCTTGGCCTTCTTTCAGTATCACTGGCTCTTGATCATAGGCTACCTATCGAAAGGGTTGAATGTCAAACAATTCCTTTTGGTATAGTGATTCCATGCATTCCTTCCATCTTTTTTTGATGCTTCCTGCATCATTCAATATTGTGCCCATAGAATCCTTCAATATTGCATTTCAAGGCTTGAATTTTTCTTCCATTCGTTCAGATTGAGATATGCTGAGCATGATCTTCCTTGTTGGGTTTCTAACTCCGGGTCTTCACATTTCAATACCATACTTCATTCTGTCTTCTCATGCTGCCCTTTGACTTCTTCTGTTTGGCTCTTTGATGTCATCGTTTTTCCATCTGCTTTAGCTGATCTACATTCAAGAGCCAGTTTCAGAGTTTCTTCTGACATCCACGTTGGTCTTTGAAATGACGTTTTGTTTTCTTCATGTTGATGCCATCCCACAGCTCATCAGGCTTTCTGTCATTACTGTTCAATGCATCCAATCTCTTCTTAAGATATTCAGATGTGAGATATACAAGATCCTATTTTGGCTTTTTACCTGTGTTTTAATTTTTTTTTGGTGGGGGGGGCTTCAAACTGAACTTACAGAAGCAATTGATAGTCTGTTCTACAGTTTCAGTGATTTAGTTTGAGTAACAATGGGATTACCTGGATTTCCTTGGGGGCACAGAGATAATATCCCATCCCACATAGCATGGTTCTTCAAGATGGGTCTCGCAATGTTCTTTTAAATGAAGTGATGCCATTCCTCTTGAATCTGTCATTCCTGACACAGTGAACCATAACTGTCTGACTCAAAATGGCCAATACCAGTCCATTTCTGCCCACTCATGCCTGTATATCAATGTTCATATTCATTTTGCTTCATGCTGGATTACTTCAATTGGTAGAAACAAATTATCAAATTATGTGCACATGATTGTACCTTTAAGACCCCAGACACTATTCTTTCTGATAGCCAAGCACCAACTAGTTTCTTCATCACCCTTTGCTATAGCACCCATAGCTTTAATGACCTCTTCCATAAGGGTGAGCATCAAATTGGTGCTTTGTCATGAGAATGAATTGTTCTTAGATTGGGGTTAGAATTAGGTGCAAGCCCCGATTCTATTCATGCACCTGTTGTTTATATAGTCTCTGGTTCCTCTTAGAGCCATCATTGTCATTTCATGTTAGAGAACATTATCAATCATCCCTCCGGGGCATCACTTCTGCTGCCATCATCAATCAGCATTCTCTTTCATTGTGCTCTTAATGTTCCATTTCCAAGTGCTTTAGTTTCCCTGCCTCCTTGTCTTCTCATCTTTATTTTAGAGTAATTGTAGAACCCTTGGTCTGCTGTAGATGGTTTTATAATGACACACTATCCTTAAGGATACCCTTTACTTTGTGGGCCAACCTGTTATTTTGCTCAAAGGTAACTTTAGGAGCTAGTTCTCAGTTCAAGGTTTAAAGCGTTAACTCAGGGAAATGGTCTCTAGCCTCAGTGGGTCCAGAAAGTCTGAATGTTTTAAGAATTGGAGTTCTAGTCTGTGCTTTCCCCCTGCTCTGCCAGACTCCATCTCCTGTGGCCCTGGTCAGAGTGGCTGGTAGTGGTGGCCATGCACCATCTACTTCTTCTGGTCTAGAGGAAGCCTCGTCTTGTGTAGATGAACTGTTCTTTAAGAAGTATCTTAAAGAGACGTAAAACCCTCTTGCCAGAAATATTCTGGAACCCCTTCTTCAGAGTAAGTGGGGGGAAAATCCTCTACCCTGCTGTGTGCTCCTTTTCTCATCAGTATTTACCTTCACAATTCTGCTTCCCATGGTCTGTAAGCACCTATGCCTGATTCACCCTGGTGTCCTTACCAGTCAACACAGGTCAGGTACTCACTAACCCTTAAGAGTGCCCTCTCGCTGAATCTATGGGTACCCTGGTGAGTAGATGGGTCTCACCGGAGCCGCAGAGGCACACCCCCCTCTCCACACCCTGGCCAGAGCCCCCAGCTCACCAAGAATTGGACAACGTCCTCTGGCCTGTGCTTGGCTGACTTGAATGCAGCCAGCCGGGTCACCACCAGAATCTGGTACTCCACATGGCCCGACATCATCTTGCCCCGCACCTCCTGGTGCTGGGGCACGCTCAGGTCCAGGCCCGTGTGGACATTCTGCACTCGCCTGCCAAAAGGAGAGGACAAAGGACGCTTAGGTTCAAATGAGCAGGCTTCTTGATGGAAGTACAGGCAGGGCCTTGACAAGGGCCAATGGACCTGGGTCCCAGGTTGCTTAGCGGGTGGTCCTTGTAGCCTTGATCCCAGGCCACCTCGTTCTTCTTACAGGGCATTGGAAAGAAACGAGGCATGAGTTCACTATGGAGAGGAAGCACAGATAGAAGCCGACTTTCGTGGGTGGAAGTGAAAAAGTGAGACGAGCCTCTTAGCAAGGGAATGCGTGAGTGCAAGGCCATTTCCAGGAAAACCCACACCCCACCTCTCACACACAGCCCAGCAGCACCCCCATCTCTGACAGTGTTTTGGCCACTCCAACATTTATAAACCTGGAAACCACCGTCATTCCACCATCCTGAACCCATCACAGCAGGTCTCCACCAGCTTGGACTCTACAATCCACTGCTGGGACGACTGTGTCCCACCTCTGTCCGAATGCAGAAGGGGCCTGGGAAAAGCCCCCAACTCCCGTTCCCAGTAGCCCTTGCATCTACGTCCATGCAGCCGAACACACACAGGATCAGCGCACACCAGGCTGCCTGGTGGTCCTGCTTTAACCCTTCCAAGGCCAAATGATGCACTGCTTCCGATTGTTGAAACCATGTGTGTGTGGTGGTGGGGAACATTTCACTTCATTTTTAGACCTGTGAAGGGAAATGTGGCGAAGGTTTACAGAGCAGCTCTCCCGCTCTTCATCCAACAATTCATGCAGGTCTAGTTTCGACTCATGCCCTGCGACCCCCTCAGCGCACCCTCACTTATCCTCGGCCCTCCCTGGACGAGAAGAATCCTTTGACATTTAACCATTTTAAGAAGTAGCCTGTGATCAAGAATTAAGGGAACCAAAGAAAGGAAGCCACGCTGCACTGTGGCCATGAGCTGAAAACCAAGGCTCTAGGAATAGTGAGAATATCGAGTGAACTGTTCCCACCACTGCACTCAAAGCACTCCTTCCTCTGCGCCAGGAAATGTGGGAAACATCTCCCTGACCATCTGACTCGATTTGTTCCCGTTCCAAAGAACGATGACCCAACAGAATACACAAATCGAACAATACTATGAACATCACATGCAAGTCAAATTTTACTCCCGACCATTCAACAACAGTTGCAGCAATATACTGACAGGGAGCTGCCAGAAATTCAAGCTGGATTCAGAAGAGGGCACGGAACAAGGGACATTGTTGCTGATGTCAGATGATCTGAACTAACAGCTGAGAAGACCAGAAAGATGTTTACTTACATTTCATTGCCTGTGCCAAGACACTAGACTGTATGGATCATAATAAACTATGGATAGCATTGAAAAGAATGGGAACGCCAGGACATTTCCATCATGCTCATGCAGAACCTGTACATGGATCAAAACGCAATCATCCAAACAGAAGAAAAAGACTGCATGCGTGGCTTGAAGTCAGGAGAGTTGAGTGAGGGTTGTAGCCTTTCACCTTATTTTTTCGATCTGTATGCTAAGCAAATAATCATAGAAGCTGTACTACATTAAAAGGAGCCGATCAGGATTGGAGGATGGTTTATTAACAACCTCCGTTGTGCAGATGACATAACCTTGCTTGCAAGTGAGGAGAACTTGAAGCACATGTTGCTAAAGCTCAAGGACAGAAGCCTTCAAGATGGACTACAAGTCAATGCCCTGAAAACCCCCAAATCCTCACAACTGGACCAACAGGCAGCATTCTGATAAACAGAGAAAAGACCGAAGTTGTCAAGGAGTTCATCTTACTTGGATCTACAATAGATGCTCAAGGAAGCAGCAGTCCAGAGATCAAACAACCATTGCATTGGTTAAATCTGCCACCCCAGACCTCTTTAAAGCGATGAAGCGCAAAGAGGTCACTGTGAGGGGCACCTGACTCAGGCCAGGGTATTGTCAACTGCCTCATATGCATGGGAAAGCTGGGCAATGAATGATGACAACCGAAGAAGAATCAGTGCATTTGAACTATGAAGCTGGTGGAAAGTATCTAAGAGTTACCACAGACTGACCAGAGGATAAAGACATCTTCCACGGAAGATGTACGGCGAGAATGCTCCTGAGAAGTGAGAATAGGGAGACTTTGTCTCATCTATTTGGACAGGGTGTAAGGAGAGATGATTCCCTGGAGAAGGGCATCATTCGTGGTAAAGCAGGTCAAGGAAAAAGAGGACGAGCCTTCAGGAGATGGATTGACACCGTGGCTGCAACACAGGCTCCAGTCTAACAGCTGTGCTGACGACGCAGGACCATGCAGGGTTTGTTCTGTTGTACCCAGGGGCTCCATGAGTCAAAACGGACCGACTGTGCCCCCAACAACAGTAAAACATGCCCGCCTTCAGCATGAAGCTCCTTTACATATGGGAGCACATTAACAACAGCTCCTGCAAAGATTAGGGAGACAGTGGGGAGAGACTGAGTTTCTGTCAATGGTGGAAGAAAACACAGGGGGTGTGGGGGTGTGTGGGGGAGTGTGAGAATGATTGCAGAGAACGTGATCCTACATGTAGAACCTAGACCTGGTGCGTGTTTTGCTGTGTATAGTCTCAAAGACAACAAAATGAATAAGTGTTGGACGGTTAACCGCAAAGTTGGCAGTTCAAACCCACCAGCTGCTTGGAGGGAGAAACATGAGGCTCTCTGGTCCCATTAAGATTTCGTCTCAGAGACTCTCGATAGAACAGCTGTGAGTTGTACTCCACTCAACAGCAATGGGATCGATGCCCAGAACCCAGAACTCAAATATCTGCAAGCCACCATCACCTCCTGGAGATACTCTCCCGGTGCCTACACTAGATGCAGCTCCTGCTTCTGCCCATGCTCAATGCAGCAGCCAGAGGATCTCTGTGAAAGACAAGTCAGATCGTACCACCTTCTGCCCATGGCTTCTTAACGTGCTCAGAATGAAATCCAGAGGCCTCAGTCTCCCTGCTCCCCAGTCCCCAAACCCACACCTTTCATCACATCACCTAACCTCCGCTCTCCAGCCACACTGGTCTCCTTCTGGCCTCCAAAGACCCAAGCACACGCCCGCCTCAGGACCTCTGCTTCTGCTGAGCTGCCAGGTACTCGGATGGGGACTCTCTTCTTCAGGGAACTGTCAGGGATCTAGCCAACTGCCACACGGGCCCCGGACCACACCAGAGGGAAGAGCACTCATTCCCACCTGTCGCTCTACGTCTATTAAGACTTGAAATGTTCATGGGAAAAGGTCATTATCTTTTCAATTCCCCATTTTCCCACCAACTTTTTGAGCCCCCTCATGTTTACTTATCCCCCCCCCAAAAAAAAAAAACAACTGCAGGAGATACAGCTGTTCACTGCTGTATCCCCGAACTTGGAACAATCCCTAGCAGAGCAGACCCTCAATCAACACCTGCTGGATGAATGGACAGGAGCCCCAGTGGTGCTGTAGGTTAAGCACCGGACGGCCAACTGCAAGGCTGGTGATTCAACCCCATCAGGAGAAAGATGATGCTACCTGCTTCCATTGAGATTTCGTCACAGAAACCCTAAGGAACAGTTCTGCTGTCTCACGGAGGGCTACTGTGAGTCCGCATCAACTAGATGGCAGTGGTCTGGGTTTGGATACATGCATGGAAGTGGAGATGAATCGGGTAGATGGGCTGGAAAGACAACTTGGAGCTCCGCTGTGAAGGACCTGCTACAGTGTATGGACTTGCTCTGTAGACAAGTGCCTTGGGCTGGCTGGCCCTGCCAACAAGAAGGTACAAGAGTAGACTCACGTGGCCTTGCCCATGCCTGTGTAAGCAAACCAGGTCCAGGTTAGGCAGCGAAAGCCACCCACCAACACCCCAAGCGCGTCCCACCAAAGTCACACCTCCATTGTCTGCATGCGGCTGAGAAGGCTGTTTGCTGCTGGCATTGCTCATCCCCAGAGTGGACTCTAACACCCTATTTTGCACCCAAGGAAGGTGGCCTTTTGTGCGGCTCAGGGGAAACCGCTTCTGCCCCATAAGATACAACCTGTAAGCTCTCCTCGGAGCCCTGGTGGCTCAGTGCTACAGTCGGGCTGCCATCTGCCAGCTCACAGTTGGAAACCACCAGCAGCTCCTCTTGAGAAAGACTGGGCTTCTAGTCCCTTAAAAGACTGAGGGTTACAGCCTGGCAAACTCACAGAGGCAGGTCGCTATGAGCTGGTATTGACTCAAAGGCAGTGAGTCTTAACCTCCTGACAGCATCCAGAGGCGGGGACGCAGGTCCTGGCATTAGTTTACTTAAACATGTGTTCCTCCGCCTGAAGTAAGAGGGAAGTGCTGAGCACAGAAGTTGAGTCAACATTTATTTATGTAATAAACTGGCATCTTCGCACATGCTTTGGTGCAGGGAGGACATGGGTGGGGTGCGTTCAAGTGCTCAAGTGAGTCAGTTTGCAGCTATTCTGAAAGAAATGCCACGTCCATCCCAGACTCCCCAGGATTCGTCTTGCTGAGTCTTCCAAGACTGGGTCCCGGCCGGCCGACAGTGCATCTTCCACCCAACACACCCCTGCGCTTTGGCTATAACTTGCCCTGCTTTGAGTTCTCTCCTCCAAGAACTGCCATCTCCTCCCCATCACCACCAGGTCAGTTCACTCACAAGGCCTTCCTCACTGGCTTCCAGGTGCTTGGGGGAGAGTCTGGCACGCCCCACCGTCCCCACCTGAACTCACTGCCCCTCGAGCATTGATCACCCCCACAGTCGGTCTCATCCCCGGTCATGTCGGTCTCCACGCAGCTCCAGCGTCACGCACTGGGTCTGACACACGCTCAAAATCAAAGAGAAGATGCTCCGGCCAAAAGAAACGAGCCTACGTCCCCAGGGGAAGGGAGAAGAGTGCCGCAGCCAGCCACCCCGAGGGCTTCCCATTTACAGCGAGGTCTTTGCCCTCTACGGGGCCTCGGTTTCCTCATCGGTAAAAGGGGACACTCGATGCCACCCCAACTCTCCTACAGGGCAGTGCGGAGGCCCAGGCCAGCAGAGAGCGCTGGGGAGATCCCAGCCCG